ATGTTTACATGTACCAAAAAAATGCCAAAAAACACATGATTTTAATTTTTTGGAATAAATTTGTTTATAAAAATCTATGCTTAGATGTTCAAGTGGTATATTCCAGTTATAATACCACTGTAATATACCACTCGTTTTTTGTTACTCTCAATTACATTTGCAGAAGATTCAAAACAATTTTGTTTTTCACTTTTTCAAATAATTGATATTTGATATACGATATTTTAATCTTATTGTGAATATTTTATGTTTCAAACGGGTTTTCCTAAACCGCAGAAAATGGAAAATGGAAATGGAAACCAAAACACATAAAACGTTGTACAAAATTTCTGGGGCTATACCTAAGGCCTACCTAAAACGCAGAAATTCGCCGCGGAATTTAATTTAATTTTTATTGAGTATTTTACGCTCTGATTCGGAACGGAGTGCTCCTACATCGACTAATAAATAGCCTGACTCGCAAAGGAGTGCTGCTACATCGACTGAGGAATAACCTGACTCGCAACGGAGTGCTGATACATTGACTTAAGGTTTGATTTGGGCAGGCAGTCTATCAAATAATTAAAGAAAAAAAATAATAATTTAAAGTCTGAATTAATTTCCATTTAGATTTTCCGTTTTCTGCGTTTTAAAGGAACCCGTTTCAAACGAGATTTCTAGTTAAAATATACATCAAGACAAAAAATATCACAAGAAGAATTGCAGAAGAATTCACGAGAACTTATAAACGTAAACCAGGTAATCGATCCTATGCATTTATATGGTATACCTTAAAGTGTTCTGTACAACAAGAGTAAACTAAGACATATTAAAAACATTGGAGGGCTGACCAGATTACAGCCCCATACCGAAGAAAAGATTCCACAAGTTATTAACATCCTGACAGATTGAAAGTTAAATTTGGATATACGTCTTCTAGTAAAAGACTATTTAGACAGAATGGGTGTTACTGATTTAAAATTTAAAAATAACTTGCCTGGATCTGATTGGATAAAATTCTTGCTATTCAAGCAGTCAGATTATTGTTCGCAATAATCTGACTGCTTGAATAGTATGTTCAAATTTCGATAAGTTATCTATTACACTTCGAGACATTCCAAATACCGATAAATCCAACTCTGATGAGACAAATGTGAGCGATAATCCAGGCTCTAAAACAGTAGTTTGTATACGTGGCCTTAAACGCTTTAGAAAGAAAAATGCAGCATTCTAAAGGAGCTATTAGTATTATGTACTGTGGGAGTGCAGCTGGTCAGTTTCTTTCTCCCATGGTTGTTTATAAAGCTGAAAACTGCTACATAGAGTGGGCAAATGGTGGCCCACCTGGAACTATATTCGAAAATTCAAAATCTGTTTGGTTCAACTCAAGAACATTTGAACGTTGGTTTAGGGAAATTTTTATTCCAGAAACAGCATTTCTTACAGGAACTAAAGTTGTTATTGGAGAAAATTTAACTTCACATTTCTCAACTGATATCATCAAAGTATGCTGGAAAATAATATCCGGTTCACATGTTTAATCCCAAATGCCACATATCTGTTACAACCGCCTAATATTGCTGTTTTCAAATTCTTGAAAGTTGAGTAGAAGAAGATAAGCCACCACTAAGCGAATTATATATAAAGAACATATTCACATTAAAATCTAAACATTCAATTACTGTTAACCTTATTCAATGAAATTTAGATGTCTTAGTTTTACTAATGAGTACCTTGATCTAATAAAACAAACTCGGTTGTAAATAAAGGTAAAATAAACGCTACGGAGTATGCTAATTAGTTGTTTTATCAAATGTAGTGCTTTTTTAAACTGGCAAAAGCAGAAAAGTAAAATTAATCAAGCTGAAACTAATTATTAAAGTAGGTTCATAAAATTTTCAGGAGTTTTTTTTTTATCCATTTACATCATTTAAACACCCAGCAAAGTTTTTCATCTAACAAAATACATATACATTTTTTTTTTATTTGACGTTTAGTTACAGTTTGCTAAACCAATAAATCTTCCCAGTAGGCAAGCGAATGTAATAAGTTAAAAGTGATAAGTATGTGATAAGACTATAACTTGCGGAGTCCCACAGGGTTCTATACTAGGACCTTTACTTTTCTTACTATACATGAATGATTTGTCTTCAACATCAAACCTATTAATTTTTTTTTTTTTTTCTTTTTGTATGTATTTAGGTGCTCCCAGAAGTCCTTACGGTCTTATCATAGAGCACCGCGGGAGAGCATTTAACGGGAAGTTCACGCCTCCTTCCGTACCAATGTCACTTGTTAGCCTAGAGCTGGCGTCGAACCTCGGACCTCTGGATTCTGAGCCAGAACTCTAACCACTGCGCCACGGCTGCTCGAACCCACTGCGCCACGGCTGCTATTTTATTCGAAGATAAGTCGAATCTTTTTTATTCTCACAAAAATATTAAAACACTTTTTACATTATAACTGAAAAATTAAATAAAGTAAATGAATGGTTTATATGCAACATATTGTCTTTGAATGTTCAAAAAATTAAATTTTCTTTTTTCCACAAACTAAACAAAACGAAAAATATACCGCTTATTCTGCCCAATCTCTTAATAAATAAAACTAACATCAAAACTTTTTAGGTGTGGACTTCGATGAAAATTTATCATGGAAAATACATATAAATTCTGTCAAAAAAAAAAATCTCAAAAAACATTGGAATGATCTATAGAGTTAGGCCATTTTTTAATTTAAAGTCCTTAAAAAATTTAATATCCATCTTGTGGAGCCGATGGTTTTATGGATGTTGCAGCAAGTAATAGTTTGGCTAGATTGTATGCTGATAAACTTATAAACGAAGAAACATGTTCAATGGTGCCTATCAGGTAAATCTTTGTTATAGTTTTTTTGGTGTCCAGCTGACTAACGCAATGGATGAATAGATATTTAGAATTTTTAGTTAGTGCTAGATTTGCTATATCAAAAGAACTTCTTGATTTGTAGTCAAAAAATGTGTGTGTGTGTGTGTGTGGGCGTGTGTATGTTTGTGTGCGTGTATGTGGGTGTATTTGCATATAAATTTATTCTTATGTCCAGAACTCCTCAAGATGGCAATTGTTTATTTTCTGCTGTCTCCATTGCTTTAATTGGAAACAATATGCTAGCAACAACTCTTAGGAAGCTTTGTGCAATCGAGTTATACAATAATGCAAATTTTTTTGCTGTGCATCCTGTTTTTCGTCTGGGGCATTTAAGTGGTGTTTTTTGATCAGAAAGATCCGCTTTCTTGTTAGGAATATCCAATGTTGCATGTACTGCATTTGAAGCTAAAAAGTCTAAAGTTGATGCTATTTTGGCTGAAGCATTAAATATTTCTCAATCTGGTGTTTGGTCATCTTTAGTTTGTGTGATGTCAATCTCAAATGTTTTAAAAGTATATTCTCATTTGTATAAAATTAACATTTAAACTGATTTGAATTTTATTGTTTTATTTATTATATAGATATAATTATTTTTCTATTTTTTTTTTCTATTTCAGATTCCATTGAAACTCTTTTATCCTACTACAGGAGATGCATGTTTAGAATATTTATTTAGAAGTACATTGTACCCACAGACTTTTAAGAAATTTGATGAACCCTATCAAATAATTTACTTATTGCTTTACAATGTTGAATCAAAGAAAGAAATTCCAGACAATCTTACACATATGGGAAAAATGCATTATTTCAAGCCTAATCATTTTGTCCTTCTAGTATCTATTATAAGCACTCAGCCAGAGTTTCGAAATATTTTAGTTCATACCCAAACAAGTTTAAATTTTTCAAAAAATATTGTTGTAACTGGTGAAAAACGCCTTTCAAATTATTCACTTCTTCAAATACCTTTTTCTGCTTTTTAAAAAATTAATTTAAACAAACCATCATTGAGTATTAAGAATTTTTTTTCTGTGAACAATAAGCCTTTGCCAGTATCCAGTTCGTCTTCGGTTTTAAGTAATAAATTTGAAAAACCAATATCAGGAGTCGTAATTTCAAAATTAAATGTAAATTGTGAAAATGCAACAACAGAAGATGATTGCAACGAATTTGATATTGGCTTGTTTGTAGACAAAGTAGGGAAACTATCAAACCAAGAGAAGCGTAATATTCTATTGAACGTATGGATACCACCTTCTGACTATGTTTTTCCTAAAACTAATGGTCGTAAATGTAACCCTGCTTGGTTCAAAAAATTTTCATGGCTCTGTTACTCAAAGTACTATGATGTTACTCAAAGTACTATGATACTATATGGAAAGGCTTCTTCAACTAGTCAACTATTTCATGAATATCCGTTTTGGTTTTGGTCAGTTGGAAATGTAAGAATAATATCACATAATAACACTTCACCAATGCATAAAACCTCCATACAAATAATGCTTGATTTCCAAGCAGTAATTAGTAAAAAAACCGTTCCAATTAATTTGCAACTCAATAAATTTCTATCTGATAATATTTCTAGAAATCGGCAAATTTTGTTTTCAATATCACGTGCAATCCTTTTTTGTTGTAGGCAGAATATATCACTTAGAGGACATCGAGATGATGCTAAACATCTTGCTTTGCAATGTAATAATGCTGGTAATTTCCAATGCTTATTAGATCTGATGGCATTATGCGGTGACAAGATCTTGAGTGACCATTTTAAAAATGGTCCTAAAAATGCAACTTATCGATCAAAGACAGTGCAGAATGAGTTGATTGATATTTGTGCAGGTGTTGTTCGATCACTATTGACAAACAGAATAAAGAAAGCAAAATTTTTTTCTATTTTAGCAGATGAAGCTTCAGATGTTAGTCAAACTGAACAAATGGCTGTAGTTGTTCGGTATGTGGATGAATGCTGCAAAGTAAAGGAAGATTTTTTAAAATTTGTTTCCTGCAATAGTGGGTTGACTGGAGTTTTGTTATCAACTAAGATCAAGAAAAGTATACATAAACTTGGTCTGGAAAATGTCTTATTGTCGTGGGCAAGGTTACGATGGGGCTGGTAACATGGCAGGGCGTCTTTGTGGTGTAGCAGCATTAATTTTAAAAGATTTTCTTAAAGCTCCATACATCCACTGCTATTCCCATCAACTTAATCTGTGTGTTGCCAAAGCATGTGCAATTCCTTCAATTCGAGATATGATGGATCATGTTAGGATTGTCTCTGATTTTTTAAATAATTCTCCAAAGAGGTTAGAAGATCCATCTACAAAAATTGTTGAGCTATGTCCAAAATCATCATTTCAAAAGACAATAAATGTTTGTAGAACCAGGTGGATTGAAAGAATTGATGGTCTTGAAGCTTTTATTGAGTTATTTCCAGCTATAATTGCATCTCTTACTTGTATTAAAGAAGATGAGACATGGAACTACAAATCCAGAGGTGATGCTTCTGCATATGTGACAATATGTTGTTCGTTTAAGTTTATCATCACCTTAATCATAGTCAGGAAGTTATTAGGGTATACGAGACCACTGACAAAAACGTTGCAAAAAGTTGATCAAGACTTCTCAAAAGCTCGTGATGATGTGGAAATTTTAAAAAACACTCTTTTATTTATTCGGAGCTCTATTGAAATTTCACACTCAGAATGGTATAAAGAGGCTGTTACCATAGCTGCAACTAATTATACCTTGCCATCTAAACCAAGAACATGTGGATAACAAACACAACGTGATAATCATCAAGTAGATGATATTAGTGAATATTATCGAGTAACTTGTTCGATTCCTTTTCTTGATCACATTCTAACACAGTTAGATTCTTTATTTTCTTTAGAAAATTTAACATTGCTAGATAGTTTCGTCATCATACCATCAAATTTAATCTCTGACAAGAAGTGGAGGAAAAAAGTAAAAGAATTTGCTCATACATACAATAATGATTTACCAGAACCAAGTTATCTTTATGCTGAATTGGATATGTGGGAAGTATATTGGAAAAATCACTCTGAAACAGCTCCTAAAACTATTTCAGATTCACTACAAAAATTTGATGGCTATACGTTTCCAAATATTTCTACTATACTTCGAATCCTTTGCACAGTACCAGTTACAACATGTACTTGTGAAAGATCATTATCAGCTCTGAAAAGAATTAAAACTTCCTTGCGCAATTCTATGACAGATGATCGCCTAAATGGCATTTCCATGTTGCACATTCATCGAGATGTTGAAATTGACTTAAATATTGTTGAAGATGAATTTGCGACTGCATTTCCACGAAGAATGGAGTTTAAAAATATATTGATCTCTGATGAATAGATATACTTGTTATAAATTTATACTGATTACAGATAGATATAGGATATATAAATATGTATATAAATTGATAGATATATAATATAGGATACTTTTATTTATTACTGATGGAATATTTAAAGAGGATATTTTTTTGATGTCATAAATATTTCATATTTATTATTAACTTTATGTTATGAGGTTTTGTTAAAAAATAGTTATAGTTTTTTACCTCTTATGACATTTTTTTTTCTTTATATTTTTGTAGTTCTATCTTTGCCATTATTTTGTTTTAGTTTGAATACTGTTGAAATATGGTTTGAATTTAGTAAATTTTCATGATATGAACTTTACTTTATTGATCATTAGCCAACAGTTTTGGATGTTGAACACAATTAAGGTAAGAATAACTTGCAATCGTTAATTGTCATGGTATTGCTATTTTATTAATGGTATTTGATTTTGAGAAGATAGTTAACCATCATTTTTGGATGGTAAATTATCATAAGATTCACCCACATTTAACATTATCTTGATAACTCGAGTCCTTAATAAACGCCCCCCCCCCAATTGTTTATTAATTTCCGATATTTTTCCCCATCACACTAAGCTTATTAAGACCTCCCCCCTCCCCCCCCCCCCCTCATTTATTTTTTTTATTTGTTATCAACAAAACATTTATATCTCAAACCTAAAATCTGCAAAAATCGGCCTTAAAAAATTTGAAAACAATTTTTGAGTCTCCGATAAAAACAAAAAGTGTAAACAGGCTTTAAAAATTATCGACATAGTAATTGTACCAAAAATGTGTTTTGTTTATTTCTCACCAAGGTATAAGCATATTGTATAAGCATATAAAATAAAGATGTAATCTGCTACTGCCCCCTCCCCCTTATATTTATCCCCCTCCTCGTATTCGGGATTCGAGCACATTTCCCCCTCCTTTCATTGGTAACGGAGAGTCAAGAGTGTCAGTACTCTGGATTTGAGGACTTTTTTTTTTTTTTTTTTTTTGCTACAGTCAAAATTATTCCTGGATCCGCCCCTGTATATATATATATATATATATATTAATACTAGAAAAGTTTTTTAAATATTTTTTTGAACATAAAGTCATCAAATCTCTTTAAAATAGTCAAACAGCACCTATTTAACTTAAGTGACGTCAACATACACTTGTATTTTTAAAAATTAAATTAATAATAACTAAAACGAATTTATCAATTTTGGATGACCACAAAGGATGATTATATCACAATACAAATAGTTTTTTTTTCTATACTCATCTATCAGATCATTACGTACAAGGCTTCGTTTTTTTTTTAGGTACAAGGCTAAGTTTTTGCTTTATTTCTACTTATGAATTTTTAATGTCATTTTAGCCTCACATGAAACTTATTGCAAAGTTGCAAATGAAAGGAGCTTGATGATAAGACTGCAGTCTTCTACTTGATTCTGTCATTATTTTAATTTTCATCTCATTTTTAAATGTACACATGTAAATATACTTGTATTTATAAATGAATTAAAGTTAGTTGTATGTAAAATAAATAGTGACGAAATAAATAATAATAATAAAAAAAAAAAAACATTTTATTACACGCTCTAAAATGACTATAAAAAAAAAAAGAAGGATTTTAGGCATATTTTCGCCGTATGACCCCCCTTGAAATAAAAAAAAATATATAAAAAAACACTTTACAATTCAATACAATAGCTGTAACCAAGCAACGTATAGTATAAAAATAAAATAAAAAATTACAATTTAATCAACAATTTATATATTAAAACATCACAATGGCATCAGCAATTTTACAAAGGTATTCATTTACACAGAAGAAAAAAAAAAGGTTGATTTCTTTTTCTATTAGAAACACAAAACCAATTGGTAAAAGTTAAACTAAACATTCTACCAATATGTAAAGGGTATGAAGCAAAAACTGTATTAAACAAGTATATATACAACGCATATAAAAATAGACATTATCTGCGCACATATCATGCATATACCTTTCATATCAACAATTTCATCGTTTTATATTAAATAGTTTTATATTAGCGTGTTTAGATAATAAACAGACCAATCATAAATCACTGAAAAGGTGGTCAGGTAGCAGCAATCAGTTAAGACCAATTACAAACTTAACGAAATCGCATCGCTTCTTTCAATATAAATATAAATCAAACATAAATATATTAAACACGTAATTTTCCTATTTAAAAAATCCGTCAGCTAAATAAAAATATATTAAGCTGTCTTTATATAAAATTGATAGAAATCGATCTATTAATGATATATTAATGATCCCAAATTTTTTATAGTCGCACTACAAAAAGGTTGTCTGGTGACTACCTATATAGACGTAAAAAGTTCATGCTAATAAAAGAAGTCGTAAAAAACTTTTCATTTATAAAACTAATGAGATATTTTATAAAACATATGATATTTTTCGTTTTTGGTTAGGCATGATTTTATTCATCCCGTCATTCTTCAAAATCTTGTACATTGTTCTTTTTAAATTCAGATAAGCGTTTAATTAATAATGACCTATATTCCTCGTATCTAAATTAGAAAACCAAAGTAGATAAATTATAAAGTTCGAGAAAGCGATTTTCGTAAAATGAAATAAAAGTGCGTACTTCTCTTTAATTTTATAAACTTCTCTTTCTTCTTCTTCGTAAAACTTTTTTATAAATGTATCGAGAACTTGATTCGAAAAATTAATGTATTGTGCAACCTAAGAATAAAATAATAAACCCAAGAAGAAAATAAATTTTTCTGAAAAATTTAAAGGAAAAAATTTAAAAAAAAGGACAACCTACACATGCAATTTTTAACAGCTGGGTTAAAAAAATAATCTTTTATTAGTCTGTTTATTTAGACTGTTGCACAAAGCAAACTCAAATAAATCTTAAATATTGAAATTGAAAAATACACAAATTTTTTTAACGAGAATGAATGCATTAATTTTTTCTTATAGTAAATATTTCATGAAAAGGATGTAGCATTTTGTTTGTTAAATGAAAACAAACCTCAAGTGGAATATCTGTTTGATCAGCTGATTCCATTATAAATATTTTTGCAACATCCTGAAAATGATAAAAAAAATAATGTCTACAATTTTATCTAAATACGATAACAACAATATATATATATATATATATATATATATATATATATATATATATATATATATATATATATATATATATATATATATATATATATATATATATATAACATTAGGAAAGAAATATTTCTAAAAACAAGTAAGGTAATTTATGAAAACCGCTGGCAGAGCAGCGCAAATCAATAACAAATCGACAACAATCTTAAATGCTAATATTATACATTTATTACCGCTAGTATTATATTCAAAGAACAATTAACCTTCTCTGACCTTTATAGATAATTACAGCAGTTAAGGTACGAGTTCAAGGCAAGATTTAAAACAATTAAAACAAATTTAATATAATACTTCACATGGTCCCAAGTGTAACCTTGTTAATAGAGGATAAGCATCAGGTGTTATTCTGCGTTGTCCTAGTAAAAAATGAAACATTAAATAGTCTACTGACTGAATAACGAACAACTGTTAGATATACATAGAAATTTGAAGTATAAAAACAAAAGATTATGCCTCGCCTACCTCCGCTTTCAAATAATGTGAATAACGTATATTTTTTACGTTCATCAGTAATCTATAAGCAAAAGAATAAAAAAAGTTTTTCTTTTTTATTAGAACGCAAGAAAATATTTGGAACATTAGAACGTAACAATACACAAGAACATAAAGACATTAGAACGCGAGAAAATATTTGTACAAGGAATGCTTTCAAACTATTAGAGTAAATAATTCAATTAAAATTAGTACTTTGAGATTCTTAAAAAAATAAGAACAAGGCAATTGTTCATTTTCTTAGACAGAAAACAACGTAATATTAATTTACAATATTAAAAACACAAATATAATTTTATTTAAAAACACAAATATAACTTTATCAATAGTTTGTTTTTTTAAAATTACCCTACAAAGTAATATAATTGAATAGTTATGCTTTTTAAAAAAGTAAAATGCTAACTTGCAGGCAAAATACAAATGCAAAATTTTAATAAAATAATTAGAAAAAAACTTTATTTATGATTTGAATACTATTCAGAGAAGAAATTGATAATTATAATAGGACTTAATACGGTATGTAAATTTAAGGCACCTTAACACAAATACAAAATATTTATTTGTTCCATCTTTATTTGAATCTAAGCTTTTGTTTAAGATCTTGAAAACATTTTTTATTAACAAAGGTTACAATATATTTTGCAGAAAATATTTTATAAATGAAAAATACCTGAAACTTTTTAAATAGCATATCAATAAGTTGAGGGGCTCTCACATGATTTGTAATACGTAATGTTGTAGGTGTTCCATATGGCGGAATGAATGACGAACACTTCTGTCAAATAAATTGTTAAAATATAAATTCTTATTGAAAAATGTATTTTAGGAAACATGAACATTTATTATTTCATAATTTATTTTATATCACAGTAACATAGTAAATATAGTAAAAATATTTGGTGGAGTTTTTATTCGTTATACTTTTTAAATAATACATTTTTAATTAAATATTTTAAAAGGTCAAAAGTTTGATGCTATGCATTACAAAAAAACTAACAAGCCCTTAAATTCCTTGAAACTTTTCTAATTTGTCAGCTTAATTACTTATCAAAAAAACTATTGCAAAAGCACAAACTAATTTTTAGCCTAAAATTAAAAATTATTTGGAATTTGAAATGAGTAAAAATAAAAAATAAAAACTAATAAGTATGAAGTATTAGTATTTCTTTCCTACAGCTACTCTGGTATTAGTATTTCTTTCTTGCATCTACTCTTTATTAGTATTTCTCTCCTCTGGTTACCCTGGTGGCATTTTTATTTTTATTTTCTGGCTGTTCTGGTATTTTCACATAAAGTCATGTATTGAACTCCAGGATTTATTACCTATTTTTACTTGTATTCCTAGAGCATTGTATTCCATTGTATTCCTAGAGCACCAATTTTTATAAACTGATGAAGTTTTTAGAAAGAAAAAAAAAACAAAGCTTAAAAAGTCCTACAATCGTTTTTCGAACCGTTTTTTGAACCGACTGAAAGTTTAAATAAATGACAAACAGGTTCTAAGTGATGTCTTCAGCGACTAAAAAAATTAGAATTTTTTTTTTTTGTGAGAGGTGAAAGAAAGGGTAAGGGGACTTTGGGGACTTTGTATTATGACAGACTACACATATTCACATTTTTATTGGCATCAAATGTGTTACATGTTTTAATGAAAAACATAAAATAGACTATAACAATAAAATCACCTATAAATACCTCAATTTCTCTGCAAGCACCATTACAAACTGAACATCCAATACGCTTTTTTGAAGAATTTTCACTACATGGTTTTCTTTTGTATGCATAACGGGATGATATATCATTTTTAGATGGTCGAATGCCAGCTGAGGCCATCTAAAAAATACGGTAATAAGATAATATTAACAAAATATTAATTAAAGATATAAATACATACATATACGTTAGTGTTCACTTTTAATTTATTTCTACCTGGAGATAAAAAAAAGGTTAATTTTTTTCTACAATAACAAATAAAATAACGTATAGAACAAAAAGGATTTCTGAGAAAAGATTTATTTTAACTTATTACTTAATAAACAATAATACTTAATGAACATAATGATACTTGATCAAAATGGGGAGATTTTGTAGTCATTTTATAAAATTCTCAGTGAACACTTCAGTTACACTAAAGCATTACAATCATTTCAAATATTTCATTCAAAAGATTTTAAATTGTTAACAATTGGGATTTTGATAAAATTTTGCATTACATATTTATTATTATTAAAAACACTTTGTTATTGTTGATAATTGATTGTTAAACACAATTGTGCCTAATTAGCGCTTTGTTTCAGAAAATGACACATTGCCACATTTTATGAGTCCAATCCTTGTGTTCATTGCAAAATTTGATGCAACTAAAAATAGTTTTTGACAAAGGTGTGGCATTAATGTAGTACGGTATGATTGAGTATTAAAATTCTTGGCAAGATATCTTTAAATTGTGCAGGCACATTAGTAGGCAGTTGATTAAGAATTTATGAGCTTGAAACCTTCATCATGTTGTTGGTTTTTAGAGTAGTAATTCATGGTCTTCTACAGGATTTTCCTAGATTGATGCCATGTGTTGACTTGATGCAAATTTAAAATCTGTTGATGAATTCAAATTTAGTATAAAAATTTATTTAATCATTGCCCTCACATATGGGGTGGGATCTAACTTTTTAGGGATTTTCAGTTTCTAGCCTCTAATCACTGTGATTTTTAAAAAAATATTTTCATTTGAGCATTTCAAGGACATATTTTTTGAGTTTGCGTAAAAAAAATTTTTACTTTACTTTTTTCCTACTATTTTTATCATATTTATTTGGGTTGTTCACTTTAGCAAAAGTTGAGTTTTCGATTAAAAAAACTTTTTAAAACTGTATTTATGTTTTGGTAAGTTTGAAATTATTTCTTATTACTTAATTTTGAACCAAAACCAATTTCGATTTACGAAATTCACGATATTCTATCAATACATTTTTTATATGTCGAAATTCTAAACATAGCTCTGAAATTTTTTTTGCTTTTAAAACATTGAAAATTTTATCAACAAATAATTACATTATTGAAAATTTACCGAAACAATTTTTCACTTTCAAAACTTATCGAAATTCTATAAATGGCACCGAAAAATTTTATCACTTTCAAATCTCTATAATTTGTATTGAAAAATTTCTAAGCAATCAAAATTTTAAAAATGGCACCAAAGCAATATTTCATTTTTAAATCTCTGTTATTTGCATCGATATATTTTGATATTATTAAATTCATAAAAATGGTATCAAAGCAATTTTTCACTTTTGAAATTCTTAAAATCACTTTAAACTATTTATTTTATTAAATTAATAACTAATTGCAGTTAATAATCAAATGCAGTTTTTAGAATTATTCTGAAAATTGCATTTTAATGAATATTTATAATAACAAAAAAATAAAACTGACAAATTTGCAAAACAAATATTTAACATTGTTCTAAGAAAAAAAAAAAAAAAATGAGTAGCCTCCTTAACTGTAGTGGCCCCCTCGAGCCTTGGGGAGGTGAATAATTAAAAAAAAAAAAAAAGGCTGTTCATATGTATGAAAAACATTCTGCCTGGGAGAGAAACACAACAATAATTTAGTGTAATGTTGTTTGTTTAACAGATGTATTTGTCTTAGATACAATAATCTTATAAGCGATTTATAAATATAGAAAAGTTGACTAATTTTTACAATTGCAATATGATAAAAAATAAGATATTTATAGAGTATGAAATTAATTTAACCCTGTCTTTTCCCAAACTTTAAATTCAAAAATCAAGCCCTGTTTTATCTTTTTTTTAAGTAATGCTTAAGTTTTGTTACTTCTTACTAGATGGCAGCATGTGCAATTTAAAAATTAACTCGCCAATTCGCAATTGTTTTTTGAAAGTATTTAATGTCATTGTAATTTTTTAATTTAATTTCAAATATCAGGAAAGAAAGGGTTAACTTTTTTCTTTGTTTATACATTTTTATTGAACTTTTTTCGAAACTATTATAGTATCACTTACAACACAACAATTATAAATGTTTAAAAAATTTTTTTCTGCCATATTTTTTAGACTAACTTCAATAATTTAATTTTATTTGTAAATATATTTAATATTTTACATTTAAAAATTAATTTTTTTTTCTTAAAGGAAGTAAAAGTTTTATCCCTAATTTAAGCTGAGCCCATGATTTTGTTAAATCAAGTGTATTAGCTGCTGTAGGTCTAAAACTATTTTTAAGAATAAAATAAATTTTTAGGATTAAATAAACTTTAAGGGTAAAGACGGAATCCTAAAAGTTAGTTGGATTTGAAACAATTCTCTGCATGTACTCCCCAACAGTCGAACGTTGGATGTTCTTTTGATTTTGTAAGCATCCACGCTACTAAAAGTTTTTGTAAATGTCCATGTTCACTGAATGCGCAAATAGACATTCTAGACTTTCAAAACTCTTTTTTTTTTTTTTTCAAAAAAAATTAATTTAATCGAAAAGCTTTTTTTTTTTTCGAAACTAATTTATCTTATTGAAGTTTTTTTTTTTTTTGAAAATTCTTTACCTTAGTAAAACTTTTAATTTTTCTGAAAATAATGTAGCGAATCGAAATGGTTTTTATTTTTTCGAAACTAACTTTCAAAACTCAATTTTTTTTTGAAGTTTATTTATCTTTTCGAAATTCGACTTTAATTTTGAAATTAATTTAGTATATAAATATTTTTTCGAAATTAAAATGAGTTTTTAAAATTAAATTTAACTTTTCTAAATTATTTTAGCTATTCAATAGTTTTCGAAAGTTTTTACAAAATCCAAAAAAAAGTGTTTTATCAATAATATTTAAATCGAAAATTTTTTGAAAATTGTGTTTTCAAAAAGGAACCCTAATATTTATACAATTTTTTAAATTTTCATTTTATTCCTATTTTTATTTATAAATTTTTTAAATTTATCAATTTATTATAAAAATACATTTTTTATATTTATTTTTGTTATTTTTATTTATTTATTATAATTATACTTATTTTTTTTCTTAATCTATTTACAAAAATAATTATATGCAGTTATATAACCATATTTAAATCTTGCCATAACCCTAACCTTAAGCCTGGCCTTGATGTTGACCCTAACCAAGCCCTCAGTCAACGTATATATATATATATATATATATATATATATATATATATATATATATATATATATATATATATATATATATATATATATATATATATATATATATATATATATATATATATATATATGTATATATATATATATATATATATATATATATATATATATATATATATATATATATATATATATATATATATATATATATATATATATATATATATATATATATATATATATATATATAAAACATGCTAATGACTTAAAAACATAGGACTTACTTTTAATTTTTTATCATCAACATTCAGATAGTCATTTTCATTATTTTCGTCAGCATATTCATTTGACAAATGTTTCCAATAATGTGGTTGTGGAATTTTATTATCTAATGTCACTGCAGATTTTAATCCCCAATACACTTTTAAGACACCTTCTAAAACAAACTTGTCATTTATCTAAAAACAACAACATTGAAAATAAATTTTACACTTAAGTAAAATATAAAATATGGAAAAAAATATATATTAAAAATACAATATCTTAACTAATGCTTACTTCTTTGCAACAAATTTGACAAGGCGTTCCAGCATAATATGAGTTATATGTACGAAGCTTTGGAATTAAACTTGCTCTAAAATTTATAAACAAAGTCAATATGTAAATTTAAGAAATTTAATTTTCCTTCCCATCCATCTTTATATATATCAGGGTTGCATGGTTTTAACCAAATGGTTTAAATCATTGGTTTAAACCATGGTTTAAACCAATTTTAAAAATGTTGGTTTTAACCAAACTAATGTTTTTTTAAAAAGATTTGAACTTAAAACAGGAAACTAAGACAGGGTTACAGGCTTCATCCAGGATACATTCTACCTAATAGAATTGAAATTGGAGGAGAAATATCAGATAGGGTTTACACAGAAGAAATCGAAAAATGTAATGTATTGAATGGGAAAATTGTAGCCATGTATTTAGATGGCTGGAGTAATGTACACAAAGAACCTATAGTTTTTATCTCTGTAATTATAGATAAAATTAACATTTAGTAGAAACAATCAACACTTCTGGTCATTCACATACTGGTGAATATCTTAAACAATTAGCAAGAGAAGCAATAGATTTTGTAAGACGTAAATTTGCATGCACAGTAAAAGGCTTTGTGACTGACAATGCAGCTAATGTGAAATCAATAAGACAAGTATTGTCATCTGAAAGAGATATTATCATAACTTATGGGTGTGCTGCTCATATGCTGATTCTTTTAGCAAATGATCTTAACATTGAAAATGTGAGCAAGCATGTTACACAAATAATAAAATATATAAGAAATAGTCATCAAGCTGGAACAATTTATAAATTAAGCGGAGGAACAAAATTGCCACTTCCTACTGAAACTCGCTGGAATTCTGTATGTGATTCATATAAAAAATACGTCAACAACTGGAGCATTATTTTTACAATGTTTGAAAAAAATAAAGACTTGGATCCTGTGATTGGTAAAAAAGTAAGTGATATACAGATAAAGCGAAACACAGAAGATTTATTGAAAATATTGAAACCAATTGCAGAAGCTCTAGATAAGTTGCAAAGAGATTAAACAAAAATAAGTGACTGTTGAAATTTTTAAAGATTTGATGAACAGTTTATCCTTTTTATCAAACAAAACAAAAAAAAATTTAATCTAGATACCTTCAGACTGTCAGTGATGCTTATTTCCTGGCAAACACACTAGATCCTAGATATTTTGGATCTAATCTTTCTGAAAATGAAAATGAAGCTGCCATGAATTTCGCAGATAAAGAGTTCAAGAATTTGTTATCAATATTATTCAAATTAAAAACCAAATCTACTATAACATAAAGAAATTGAAGGTTTATTAAATGCACCAGTTTCAAGTGCTGGAATCCAAAGAATTTTTCAACTTTTGGTTTTATTCATTTTAAGTTAAGAAACGGATTGGGGGTAGAAAAAGCAGCTTGTATTTATATATAGAACATTAAACAATGATATATTAAATAATTTTGATGAAATATAACAATAATATTGATAAAGAATATAGTTTACTCAAATAAAATACGTTATGCTTTTTTTAATTTAAAAGGATAACTAAATACCGCATTTTTTAGTGAAAACCTAATTTAAACCAAAAAAAACCGTGGTTTTTTTGATTTTTTTTAAAAAACCTATGGTTTTTGATTTTTTTCAAAAAAAAAAAAGTTTTTTTTCAACCCTGATATATATACATAAATATATATATATATATATATATATATATATATATATATATATATATATATATATATATATACATATATTTATTTATATATATATATATATATATATATATATATATATATATATATATATATATATATATATTTATATATTTTTAAATTTAATTCACCTCCTCAAGGCCGAGAAGGCCACTACAGACGAGGAGGCTACTTATTTGTGGTTATAACCCTCTCTCAACTCTATAACTCTGAAACACGAACCTTGATGAACAAGGCCGCTGCGCAGAGAAACAAGTTGAGCGCGGTACTACCAGGGACGTGGTGAGGATCGAACTCGGAACCACTCGTTTATGAAGCGAGAGCTCTTTCACTACACCACTACCGCATATGTGTGTATATATATATATATATATATATATATATATATATATATATATATATATATATATATATATATATATATATATATATATATATATAAATATTAGTGACGTATCCAGAAATTTTTTGGGCATACAGGTTAAAAATCCTTTCTATCTTAGAGGACCTTTATCTTTTTTTTTTATTTACTCAAATTTAAATACAATTATTTGTATATAATATATAACTCGCCCAAGTATTTTAAGTTTTTTCTAATAAAAACTTAAATAATTAACCAAAATAATGTTACATTTATTACAGAATGACGGATTTAACTCCAACATCGATTTGTTGCTAATCGCTACTTTTCATTTACTTGCTCTATTCGCTTAATAATTATAAATTATAATTGATACTAAATATTAAATTAAATTATTAAATTAAAAATATCAAATATTAATAACTAGAAATATAAAGAGTATGATTTCATAAACAAGCAATAACTATAACGTTTAATAAACAATATTTGTATGACTTTTTTATACAGACTTGATAAGATTTATTACATAGCGTATTTATTGCATAACAAGGTAAATTCATTCTAAATTTTAATTACTTCATTCAAAAAATTAATAACTTTTTTTTTCTAGTTATACTCTTACTTTTCAAATCAAGTTTTTTAACGCGAATATTAAAATATTATTATGTTTTAAAAACTTTTATTTATTTTATTTAAAGTATTTTTAACACAATTTTACTGTTATTTGAAATGAAAAAGTTTAAAGCTCATATAGTTTAATCGCTTTAAAAATTATGTTATGAAAACATAGGCGGAGGAGAAACTCAAATTAATGTATTTAAAAAATATTATTTAAAAATAATAAGCGTTTCATATTTTAATCCAATCAAAACATGGGTTTTACATTTAACCCAATTACAACATATTCTATATTTCATCAACATGAATTCGAATTAAGCATTGGTTGGCTTAAAATACATTTATAATGTATTTTAAAAGTCGTTTTTCAAAAGTTGGTTTTTCTAAGCAACATTAATATCGTATCAAATGCTGATACAAAATTGTTTTAAATTGAGTTTGGGCTGAAATTTGAGGGCCCATACCAGTATACCGGTATCAAAATCGGCCTGGATACGTCGCTGTATATATATTTATATATCATTAGATATAATCAATGGCAAAAAAAAAAACGTGCTATTTAAAGTACAAACTGTCACCATATGGCATTTGTATACAAATATGCTGTTTAATACAATAAACACTCTCAAAACTATGTTTTCCATATCTCACAAAAAAGTATTTAATTTAACTCAAAATTTTTTTTAAAGTATTTGAATAGGATCTAAAGCTAGGTAAAATTTAAATTTTAATGCTTAAGCAAAAAAGGCATTAAACTTGAGTTAGGTTAAGTCACATTAAGGTGATTACAAAGAGATGCTTTAAAACAACTGTTACCTTATAGTACATTTTTTTAGCACGTTTTGTTGCCATTAAGTATATCCAATAATACATAAATATATATATATATATATATATATATATATATTTATATATAAATATATATATACATATATATGTATAAATATATATATACATATATATATATATATATATATATATATATATATACATACATGCATATATACATATAAATATATATATATAAATATATATATATATATATATATATATATATATATATATATATATATATATATATATATATATATATATATATATATATATATATATATATATATATATATATATATAGACAGAGAGAGAGAGAGAGAGAGAGGAGAAAGAGAGTTATAATATTTTTTTATATGATTTTTTTAACCGTTTTATTAGTTTTATTAACCCTTGATACTAGGAAAAATAAGGTTGGCAAAAAAATGAGGAACCTAAAACCGCTTTGTTTTTAATTTAAATATTTTTGAATTTAAATAAGGCAATTGTTTTTCTTTTTTTAATTTATTTGAAATAGAAAATGAAATAAAGTTTTAAAATTGATAGTTGTTGTGTCATGATTGCTTCTGCCACTTTACTTGTTTTAAATGTTTTTGTTGCTCAAATATATAAAATACTCAATGCTGAAATTATTAAATGCTCAAATATATAAAATAGTAGAACTAAATTAACTGAAATTTGAGCATTTCTTTTTTTTTTTTTCCTGTGGTTTTTTAAAGCATAAGAAAACAGGCAAGTACCTGACAAGCAGTTGGCAGCCTAGATCCTTTTATATTTTTTATGGGAAGAAGAACATTGATTAATATAATACTCCAATTAGCATTCTAGTTGGTTCACATCAGTATTTACAAGCTTTTTTTTGCTAAATATATTTCTTAATACAAATAAATTTTTTTTAAAAATTGTGTCAAAATCTCAAAACTTCAATTAAATTTATTAAGGACTTTTTGGGATATTTTGATTTTTTTAAGGATTTTTATAGCATTTAAACTCTGTTTCTACTAATCAGTCTGTATGAGAAGTTACATCTATTTATCAGTTGGTATCTACATCAACACAATCCACAATAAGTCAAGTGGTACATTATCTATATTAACCATCTTTATTCCCCCAGAATATTCATACTGTTTATCTCCTAGAAAAAATTTATTCAAGATGGTAGAGCTAGAAATAATATGGAACAATTTTTAAAAAATCGTTTTAATTTTTTTTTATTTTTGAAGAAAAATTATCTAGCTTTTATGTACTAAAAAAAATTTAGTTTTTAAATTTTTTTAACAATTTAAGATTTAGTTTTTAAAGCTTTTAAAACTATATACAACGACCAGTCCTTAGCTACACCCTTAGCAACAATAAAAAGTTTTTTTTACCTTAATGTTTACCTTAAAACAACACAATTTCTACCAAAAACTAAAAGAATGCGATTGTTAAAGGTCATTAACTGAAGGAATATTGTAAATATTGGCAGTTTTTGTAGCAACTTTAGTGCATGCTGTTTAATTTTGATGTTATCGACTTTTTTAGATTTCATCTCAAGTATTATAAATAATCAGTACTTCAAGAAATAACACTAAAGCATCTAATAAGCAAATTTTTGGACGAAAAAATTAAAGATTTTTAAATGAAAAGTTGGAATATTGTTTTCAGCTTCAAGTTGTGCGAGTGCAAGAAAATTACTGCCACTAATTAATAGAAATCAAGTTGTAAATGACACTGTGAATAAAGATTATTTCATACTTATCAATTTTTCAATTTTAATTGAAATCATGGAAAATGTTAGATGTTTAAATTGTTACAGTCTTGTTACTATTATTAATAATCTTTCGAAGTGCATGGGATTTGCACATCACCTTAAAGTCAAGTGTAGTTTATGTGAATGGAAAAAAAACTTATATTCTTCTAAGCAGAGTAGTATATTGAATGGAAATACAGCTCAGTGTAGGTTAACATTTGAAGCAAACACAAGAATTATAAATGGATTTAGAAAAATAGGTAAAGGATATCAATCTATGAAAAACTTTAGTCGCTGTATCAATTTACACTGTTTGACAGCTACTCCATTTAGAAAACTAAATATAGAAATATCAAAAACGATAAAATTGCTAAAGAAAGTAAGAAATAGGCCACAATGGAAATGAAAGATAACCATACTGATAAGAATAAACCAATAATAAAGCATGTTAAGATTGATGGTGCATGACAATGACATGGCCATACCTCTCTTAATGGATTTGTAAGTGCAATTGTGGGTGAAATTTCATTGATTGTAAAGCAATGTCAAAATTTTGCATGGGCTGTAGAATATGGAAAAACAAAAAAGTTTCACCACAATACAATGCTTGGAAAGCTCAACATGCCTGTCATAAAAATCATAAGCAACCTTCTGGGTCAATGGAAGCAGCTGGTGCTGTAAAAATATTTGGATAATCAATTAAAAATAATATTACTTATATTTATTATCTTGGAGACAGAGATAGCTCTTTTTAACGGAGATAGATCTTTTAAAGAAGAAATAAAATCTGATCCCTATAAAGACTTTAAAATAATTCCTGAAAAGTTAGAGAGTGTTGCACATGTACAAAAAAAAAAAAGGTACACGGCTATGAAATTTAATCAAAAGTTACAAAGGAATGCCGACTAGGAGGAAAAAAATAAACTGACAGAAAATGTGATTAATAGCAAAATTATTATGGTTTAGCTATAAGAAGTAATACAAATAAAATTTATGCTATAAAAAGGACAATATGGGCTATTTTATTCGATTGTACTAGATTGAGAGTTTTGCCACTGTTTTTGCCCAAGAACTGAAACTAGTTGGTGTAAATATCACTTTGAAAATTACATAATACTTCAAAGTATAAAGAACATATTAATTTACCATTATGGATTAGTAAAATTTTAAAACCAGTGTTTAAAGATATATCAAATGAAGAATTATTAAATGTTAAAATCTGTAAATGGGCAGACCCAAAATGCAAATGAAAGTCTTAATGCATTGGTTTGATAACCATTGGTCAAGTGAAAAAATTGGATTGGTCAAGTGAAAAAGTAAAAAATAAAATAAAAAGTCTCAGAGCAATAAAAAAGAAACTCTGATTAACAAAGTCAAAATGAAACATCATTTTATGTCTCAGGAGGGTTTTTAACATCATGTTTATATATATATATATATATATATATATATATATATATATATATATATATATATATATATATATATATATATATATATATATATATACATATATATATATATATATATATATATATATATATATATATATATATATATATATATATATATAAATATATATATATATATTAAAAATTTTGTTTAATAAATCGAATTATATTAAGTATAAGAATATGCTTAAATTATTTTTTTAGAAAAAAATTTTTTTAAACAGAAGTAAAATAACTTATTAAATTTAATTTAAAATTTTTATAATTTTTATTTTAACTTGCAATTTGCAATCACTGCTTTGATGTTTGCAATAGAATGTTTTTACTTTTAAAACTATTTTCAACAAAGTCAAAATGAAACATCATTTTATGTCTCAGGAGGGTTTTTAACATCATGTTTATATATATATATATATATATATATATATATATATATATATATATATATATATATATATATATATATATATACATATATATATACATATATATATATATATATATATATATATATATATATATATATATATATATATATATATATATATACATATATATATATACATATATATATATATATATATATATATATATATATATATATATATATATATATATATATATATATATATATATATATATATATATATACATATATATACAGTCATGTGCATGAAAATAGCAGTGGCACAAAAAATTATAAAAAAACCTTATTAAATTTAATGATATGCATAATTTCGGACCGTAATTGTTAATTTTTCATAATTAAGTGTTATCTGACACTATTTAGTCTAAAAAAAGCTTTTAAACTTAAATGGACAATATCATACTACCATTTTTTTAAAAAAGGTACTTTTATCACATTTAATGAATGCAGATTTACCATTAAAAAAGTAAATAAAATATAACATTGATGAAAAACTATTTATTCATCTTTTGAAAATACATCTAATACTTAGTTCCATGACCCTTATTTTTCAATACTGCTTTACATCTTCGTGGCATTGACTCGATTAGATGACGACATCTTTCTAAGGGAATAGCTCTCCAAGCTGCTTCAACTGCTCTCCAGAGTTCCTCTTTATTGGCTGGTCTAGACAAAGATACTGCTCTTTTAACATCCCCCACAGGTTTTCTATCGGGTTCAGGTCTGGGGATTGTGCTGGCCAGTTCATTACCTCAACCTTATTCTCTACAAACCAAGATTTACAAGAAGTGTGTTTAGGATCATTATCCTGCATAAAGATCCACTTCAAAGGCATTTCTTCTTTTGCATATGGTAACATGCCTTCTTGCAGTATTTTAACATAAGCAGTTGCATCCATGATGTCTTTGATCCAAAAAATAGGGCCCAATCCAAACCAAGAAAAACAACCCCATGCCATCACCTGGCAGCCACCATGTTTTATTGTCTTGGTGGTATACTTTATATTATATTCTGTTCGTGGGGGTCTTCGTACAAACTTTTCGTGAATACCTGGATTAAATAAAACAATTTTAGTCTCATCACTCCAAAGAATATTACGCCATTTCGATGATGGCCATTCTTGATGCTCTTTAGCAAATGTGATTCGATTTTTAATCTGTCTCTTATTTAGAAGTGGAGTTTTTCTGGGCCTTCTGGCTTTTAAATTGGCTTTTATCAAACGTCTTCTCACTGTCGAGGACGATATTGGTAAATTTAATTCCGTTTTTATGGCTGTGGAACTCATAAAAGGATTTATCTTCGCACATCTAATAATTTTACGGTTCGTTTTCAATGACGTTTTAAATTTTCCCCCACGCAATTCTGCTTTTTGTGTCCATTTTTTGGCATTGGAAATCATTTTTGCAGAACATTGTAAAGCATCTTGGATGAATTTGTAAGTTTTACCATCTTTTAACATATTTAAAATTATTTGACGCATCTCATTGGAACAATGTTTTGCTCTACCCATTTTAACTGTAATAAAATTGTGAAACTTAATAAAATATCGTTTAATTTTAATGAACAAACACTTACCTTAATGTATAAAAAAAATTGATGGTAAAAACAACTTTTAAGGCACTAATAGAAAATAAAGTGTATATTCACTGCTATTATAACGCACAGTTAATAAAGCAAAATTTTATAATTTAATTTAAATTCTGATACATGTATGTATAAACAGCAATATTGCTAACCTCTTTATATTTAAAAACCCTAACAGAAAATATTTAGAGAATAAAATATACAAAATTACCCATCAGTAAAAAAATTAAATGTATTTTATAAATAATTTTCTCCCACTGCTATTTTCATGCACATGACTGTATATATATATATAAATACATATACTAAAAAAAATTTCACAGTATCTTCAGTATACATTTAAAATTCATTTGAACTAAAATCTTATAATAATTAAATGTATTTATTGCATAATAATTGTTTTTTATTCTCAATTTGGTATTTTTTTATAGTGCATGTATAATAAATGAGCCATATTTTTTATTCTCATAAGATTCCAAATGTCATTTTAGTTCAAATGAATTATCTTTTGTTGAAAAACGAACAATAATTTGGCAATAATTTGCCGGTCTCAATCTTTTAGAGGGCGGCATCAGGTCGGCAAAAAAAAATTTGATGCAAAGGTCTTACTATAAGACATAGAAAAGAGGTCGCCAATTTTTTGCAAACACTTTAAGGTCAGCAGTTAGGTCAACACTGCCTAATTCTGAGGGCTGAGATACATAGTGTTAAAAAATTTCTTTCCAAAAAATTTTAAAGAAAAAAATTATGTTAATATTCTATACTTCAGTTCTTTTTCTGTAAATTATCTTAATTATTAAGTATACTAGTTCTTTATTTTAGGCAAAAAAAAATGCTTTATCTATAATAAAAATGCATACTTTTGCAGTTTTTTATTTTAATAAAAAAGTATACCTTAACAGTTTCTGATCTCTAGACAATGATGAACATGAGTCATTTTCTTTCGAAACCATTGTGCTAAACAAGCTTGTATAACAGGGAACATTGCAGTAAACATACCCTTGATGCTGAAAGATTAAATACACACACACACATATATATATACATACATATATATATATATATATATATATATATATATATATATATATATATATATATATATATATATATATATATATATATATATATATATATATATATTTCTATAAATTATTGTCTTTGAAAGTACTCTTTGAGAATATAATGATTCTTTTGACAACATTTTATGTTACTTTTAAAGTCATTTATCCAACATTTTTGACCTTTTTGATATATATATATATATATATATATATATATATATATATATATATATATATATATATATATATAAATATATATATATATATATATATATAATATATATATATATATATATATATATATATATATATATATATATATATATATATATATATATATATATATATATATATATATATATATATATATATATATGATAGGGATGATTAGAGACTAGTTGGAACCAGAGGTTTAAACTAAGATTTTTAATTCACAAAAATTGTAAACAACTTTTAATAAATGTTTTTGTTTAGCTCTTTCATTACTTTAATACTAAAACAAAACTGTTTTGAATCATCACACTTCAGTTTGATAAAATTATAAATAAAGTTATAAATTTCGATCTTTGTTTTAACTTCTGATTTAAAATTTTGGAGCAAGAGAAAATTTATTAAATCTTTCAACCTTTTGGAGCGGGAGTCAACATAATGTAACATATGTAATATATAATGTAACATAATTATACATATGTAATATATAATGTAACATAATTATACATATGTATTATATAATGTAACATAATTATACATATGTAATATATTATAATTCTATTGCAATAACTTAAATTTTAGACCTCCTTTTCACCTCCAGGAGCAGATTTAGGGTTCGGCACATTATTAACTATACCTAAATAGTACGGAACTAAGTGGTCAATCTGCCTAATCTGATGTGTATCTAGATCTGGAAATTAATTGTACAACTTGAAAAAATAGATAAATAAGCCGATAAATTGCATAAGGATTTTGCTTTAAAGTAAAACGATCTAGTTTTATTAAATGAAATTTACAAGAAGTTGTCTTATGAAGTAATTTCTATATATATATATATACATATATATATATATATATGTATATATATATATATATATATATACATATATATATATATATATATATATATATATATATATATATATATATATATATATATATATATATATATATATATATATATACATCACAACAGCAATTAACAAAATTATGTTAGCAGTTTGTAACTTACTAAAACAAGCATACGTTTTTATAGTATTATCTTAAAATTATACTTGGCAAAACTGCTAGCATAGTTTTGTAATATTGCTGTTGTGATGTTTTTATATATAAACATTATTTTTAAATATAGATTTTTCATGATATCAATTATAATATTAGCAACACTTTTTCTAGAAAAAATACAACTGATTGATGTTGCCTAAAGCTTGATGCCTAGGAATAAGTGTCAGTTATATATTTTTCTTATTAATTAGCCTTATTTTATTTAAACTATACAGTTGATGGTTGGTACCAAAATTTAGAAGTTTTAAGTACTGTCTAAGAGTTATATTTTTATTGGTTCAGTTATTCGTAATGAGTTAACTGCGTGTTAAGAGTTGTATTTTTATTGGTTCAGTTATTCCTAATGAGTTAACTTTTATTTATTGGAAAAAAAAAATTCTAAAGGATTGTAAAGTTTGTAAATGTTTTGTTTGTTATTTTTGATCAAATCTTGTAACTGCCACTATAGTTTAGAATTTAGTATAAAAGGATAGTTTAGTAAAAAAGATTTTGCTAGCTGATGTTCTATGGGTTCTTACTTCAATAGAATTGAATATTAATGCAACATTTTATTCCAACTTAAAATTTTATTTAAAACTTGAAATGTTTTTTAAGTTTTAAAAATATTGGCATATTTCCTTATGGAGTTAGATTGCCAGTAATACAGCCCTGGATCCACAGTTTTGGAGGCTTCTGTTCATAAAAAAAAAAAAAAATTTTAAAGAAATTCTGAAATTTTTTTTTTTTTGATTTATAATGGAAAGAGTCCTCCTGATTTAAAACAGCCCTGGGCTTTTTGCCCTATGACTGTGACTTTTCGATTAAAAAAAGAGAGTTAAGAAGGCATGACAGAGTGTACAGCAATCAAGAAATAAAAAAAATTATATTAAAATGTAGCAATCTAAATATACTTTTAGTGGTTGATGTGAGAGAGTTCATCTCTAGTTTATGATGTTAAAAGTTGGTAGCTAGTTCACTATAAAACTAAGTTACATCAATCAAAACAATGGGTATACCCAGAAACCAACAAACTCAGCAATAAGCAAATTTCACCATTTTCAATATGATTGTGACAACACAGGTCAATGTAAAACCAGTGAAATTATCAATGGTATTGTCAAACATACTTTTATGATGAGAAAACATACTCAAAACAACATGAATCTGCCAGAACAGTTTTAAATGTACTTAAATGTACTTAAAATATCATTAAAACATTGTCAAAAAATTTTTATTTGTTTTAATATAAAAACTAGAATGGAATATATATATATATATATATATATATATATATATATATATATATATATATATATATATATATATATATATATATATATATATATATATATATATATATGTATATATATATATATATATATTTTTTTTTTTAAATTCTGGAGAGCAATCTGACTAGCCTAACTATCGCCCCATTAGACTTCTTCCTATCATAAGCAAGATTTTTGAATCATTAATTAAGAAACACTTAATCTCTGATCTTGAATCTAATAACTTTCTGATCATCAATATGGATTTTGATCTTCTCATTCTTTAGCTGATTTGCTTACAGTAATAACTGAAAAGTTTTATCATGCATTAGATAAAGGTGGAGAGGTCAAGGCCATCATTCTTGACATTTCTAAAGCTTTTGACAAAGTTTGGCCATGACAGTATATCTGGTAACATCTTTAAGATTATTGAGTCCTTCTTTTCCAATCACAGTATAAAAGTTGTCCTCGATGGACAGCACTCTTCTTTATATCCTGTAACTTCAGGGGTTCCTAAAGGTTCAATCCTTGGCCCTATACTCTTTTAAATTTATATTAACAATCTTGCAGATATTCTCACCTCTAAGGTGGCATTGTTCGTTAATGATACTACCATTTATTCTTGTCATGATAAGAAGCCTACACTCTGGTTGGTGAACTTTAATTCAGATAAAAACTAATTTTTTCCACCAACAGTTATCACAAAAATTTAGATCTTACAATATTTATGAACAGTGATCTTCTCGTTTGTCAATCGTTACCTTGCTCTACAAATTTCATCTTTTCTCTTCCAGTAACTTCCAACTCTTATAGTGGTTGCTTGCAGCTTTGTTGTAATCAAAGAGGCAGAAAAAAAAAAGTATATATGTGTATACACACACATATATATATGAATATATATATATATATATATATATATATATATATATATATATATATATATATATATATATATATATATATATATATATATATATAGATATATATATATATATAGATATACATACATACATACATACATACATACATACATACATACATACATACATACATACATACATACATACATACATACATACATACATATATATATATATATATATATATATATATATATATATATATATATATATATACACATAAATTGTTTATAAGAAACAAATACCTCTGAGTAAGATCCAGAAATTAAAGGTTCTTGGCATTCAGCACACATTTTGTTGTTTTGAGGTAAAGCAACTAAATTTTTACGCTTGTTTCGTGAAGATGAGAATGAACTAGAATCTATGTCTAAAATTAAAAAAAATTTAAAATTAAAAAAATTTTTCTTTAAATAAACAAGTTTTTTCAACATTTTTATTAGTTTTCCAAATTTGATATTATTATGTCCCAAAGTTTTAATACTTTTTTATGATTATAAGTCAAATAGAAAAAAAGCTATGCTATATAGAAAACTTTGGTATTTTGGTAAATTTGTACTATGAAGCATTTATTTACTTGTCAAAATAAAATTAAAAAGGTGACAAGGATTGCCAAATCAAATCTTCTAATGAGGGTGCAGTTATAAAACTTAATTAACAATCTGAGGATTAACGTTGCTGCTAAAAAAAATTATAGTAAGTAAATTATAGCCTGATTATAATAATAACTATAAATTATCAGAGTATTAACAATAACTTGTAGTTCATGAAATATGTCCCTGTTAATGCTTTTGGTTACTTTTTGAAGGCCTAATAAGAAGTCCTTGTCACAACTTCAGGTTGATTAGCAGAACTGCAAAGCTAATTGCTTGATGACTAAACTGATGATGCCAAGCACTATATATGAGTCAAATTTTCTAATTAAAAAAATGATGAATAAAGTAGTTAAAAATATTAATAAAAAAAATCGTTACCACTATATTATTTTCTAAAAAATGCAAAAATATGCATCAAAGGACTAGACCGAGCTGTCAAACCCAAGTAAAAAAATAAAAAATTAGAAAGAGTTTTCAGAAAATAAAGATAAGGATTTTATTACTTCTCACAAGAACTGAACTATTTGCAAAAAATTTTTTATCTTACTCATCTCTTTGATCTAATAACCACACTCTTCCTGTCTTCTCAAAGAAACAGATTGATCCACTGATAGACATCCAAATCGTTACTGCTTCTGCTATTAAAGTTATATCTTACATAACCTCTTAAACAGCTAGTGATCCAGATAGAATTTAGCTATAAGCATTTAACTATTAGCAATTTAGCCAATAGCATTTAGATAGCAAGTTAGCATTTAGTCTTAACAGCAGATAGCTATTACAGTCTTATAAAAGTGGTCTTCACTAATTCTTCAACTACTTTCTAAACTATTTTACAAGTGAAAAAATGGTATCTGTGCGAAATCATTAATGACATCTGGTAAAGATGAAAAACAACAAATTTTTTAAACTATACAATAGATATATTAAATTATATTTCCACAACCTTTTTTCCACAGTCTTACAAAGGTGTTTTCAAGAATTTTTGTAAATACTTTTGAAACTATTTAACAAGTGGTTGACTGAATCTTGTTTTCTTTTCTGCTGAAAAATGGCATCTGAAAAATGGTTCCAATTTTTAAAAACTCTAGAGATCGCTCAGACCCGCAATAAATTGCGCAATAAATCTTCTTACTATAATTAGCTAAGTCTTCAGTAAAGTCTTAGCAAGTTCTTCTTACTATTGTTAAGTCTTTAAACCTTTAATTAAAAAACTTCTTAAGTTTAACAACTTAATCTCTAAGAATCAATATAGATTTTAATCTGCTCATTTTACTGCTGATTTGTTAACCATTCTAACAGAAAGGTTCTATCTTGTTCTATTTTTTTCGAAGAAAAATAAAGAAATTAAATGTAAATTAAAAGTTAAACTAATTGTTAATTAAATTTTATTCCAATTGTACTTTTTAATTTTAGATTTGTAATGACAGTTAATGGGAAAACTTTCATACTCAGTGTAGTTAACTTTTTAAATATTATAGAGTCGGTAAGATATTTTGGTGACGACATATTTCCATTAAATGGTCAGGTCTGTAAATAATGAAAAGACAAAAAATATTAAAATTATAAATTTTGCAGTATCATAAAATACAAATTTTTTATTTATTTATTTTTTTTTTTTTAACATCTTTGTTTCCAACAAGGCTGCAAGCAACCACTAATTAGTGTTGGAAGTTACTGGAAGAAAAAAGTTGAAGATTGTAGAGCAAGATAACGATTGACAAACGACTTAAAAGATTGCAAATTATATGTTTCAGGAAAGCAAGATGAAGGAAAAATTCCACAGAACTGATGTTCGACGAAAAAAACTAGATGAATAAGTAACTAGATGAGTTTTTAGAGCACTTAGAAACAGTAACAGAAAAAGGATGAGATTTAATTGAATGACAAGTAACACGAGAATGAATTTTAGTAGATGGCACAAGAGACGCTAGCTCTTTAGAACAGTGCCTATTATAGTATTTGAAAAAAAAAAAGAGAAGCAACATTACGGCGATGTGACAAAGGTTAAAGGTTGGCTGCAAGAGCAGGTCCAACTATGTTTACAGCCTTTTTGCACCTTGTCTAAAAGAGAAAGGGCACCATTAGAAGATTCGCCCCAGATATGGCAACAGTATTCCATACAAAGCCGGATTTGAGATTTATAGAGATAGAGAACAGAATCCAGAGTAAGAGAGTGGTAAGCTCAATAAAGAGATGCAACTTTAGCAGATGCTAATTTTGCAACAGATTTGATATAAGGTTTCGAAGAAAGATCAGAAGTAAGAGTTATCCCTAGAAGATGAAGGGTAGATGACTCATCAAGTACATTACTGTTCATAAATATAGGAAGGTCTAAATTATTGCGATAACAATTGGCTGAAAAAAATTTTGTTTTATCTGAATTAAAGTTCATCAGCCACTGTGAGCCTTATGCTGTAGCAGAAGTGAGATCCTTTTCAAGCTCAAATGCCCCCTGCAAGCAAACAGAAGGACTTGGTTTCTTATCGTGACAAGAATAAATGGTAGTATCATCGGCGAACAATGCCACCTTAGATGTAAGAATATCTGGAAGATCGTTAATGTAAATTAAAAAGAGTATAGGGCCAAGGATTGAACCTTGAGGAACCCCTGTTACAGAATAAGAAGAAGAGTGCTGTCCATCAAGGACAACCTTTATACTACGATTGGAAAAGTCTAAGCAGGAAACCAATTTAGATACAGAAGCTGGAGTAATACGTATGTTGAGTAATGGATCAACCTGTTTGACGGCTATATCAGGTAGAACGCAACTAGTGGAATCAAGAGATGATATTGATGAAAAGTTCTTACCAAACAATTCAGCTTTGTCTTTAGGTGAGGTGACAAAGTCTAAACCATACAAAAGAGGTGGAATTACAGACTTGCCATTATTATTGATACTATTAAAGATTCTCCAGAAGTCACAAGAGCCTAATTTTTGTGATGAAATACGAGATTTCATGATTTGAGAATAGCGGGCTTTGGCGTTAGACAAAGCCTTTTTACAATGGTTCCTAGCAGTAATAAACAGACGTCTGTTTTCTGGATAATTGTTTTGCTGAAGTAATGGTTTCGATTAGATTGCAGCAGCACAATGTGAGGAAAACCATGGAGAAGAGTGAGGCTTGACCTGGAATTGTCAAGAGGGAATAAAGGAATCCATAACAGCCTGAATCCACGAAGTTATGTAAGAAGCACTTTATTCATTTTTAAATTTGTTAAAGAATTTGACTCGAATCATAGATAGTACTCAGAACACTGTCTTATAGCCCAACAGGAAGACGAAAGATTTCTACCCAAGGGCCATCACGAAGAAAATCAAGGAAAGAGTCCCAGTCAGCTTTTAGGTAGTTGTAAAATGTACGATGATAGGGGGATTCTGATGATAAAGAAGAATAAGATAATAGTTTTAGAGAGTTTTAGAACCATGATCAGAAGCATATAAGGGTGAATGTGGAGAAACTGAACACTGACTAGGATCAGAAACAAGATATAAGTCGAGTAGAGAAGGTAAATGATTCGGGTTGTCTGGAAAGCGAGTTGAAAAGTTTACTATTTCAGTTAGGGATTAAGAAAGGCAATAGTTGTGGGGTTTAATGCCTGACACTAGAGCCAAGCCATTCAGTGTGATGAGCATTAAAGTCACCAACAACAACAATACTGGCTGATGGATAAAGAGAGAGGGCTTGGTCAATATGACCAGAAATAACATCAAGAAGAGTGCAGTCTTGAGATGACGGAGAGCGATATAGAACAAAGAGAAAGGTGATAGAGTGAAGTGGTGCTAAATGAAAGCACATAAAAGAGTAGTCTGTGGATTCAAACCTAGTTTCCTGACAAATGGGTGAATTCTTACAAATGTAAATGCCTAGGCCAAGCATGTGACTATTGGAGTCTTTACTAATTAAAGGGAGATAATCATCAACACTAAGATCACAAGATGAGACAGCTGAATTCAAATTAGTCTCACAAAGAGCAAGTAGGTTTGGTGAACTTTGCAAGAGATAAGACTCAACAGAAGAAAAGTTACTTCAAAGACCAGGAATATTAGTGAATGATAGGTTTAGCAAACTTGTTGATGACTGTGGTTTTTTGAGTTTTATAGTTTTTGTTATTTTATTCAATTTTAAATTTGTTAAAGAACTTGACTCGAAACATAGATAGTACTCAGTACACTGTCTTATAGCCCAAGCAATTGCCTCATTACTATTAATAAATCCTAATCCGTAACAAAGGGTTCCAATATGGCCTTGGCAATGCACACCAAAAGTACAAACAGGGACACCATCCATGCACAACATGGCATTGTTAGTACTTTGATATTTTTCAGCTGTTGATGGAATCAGCCTCTCTAAGAGCTACCACAGAGTTTGGGAAATAATAGAATGAGATAATAGAACGAGTTGCCTAGTCGTAAAAACAGAGACACAAGCAAAATCCATGCATCGGGTCAAGACTGTTTGTTGCAAAAAAACCCAGACCGAAGATACTTATTTTTTTTAAAAAAATCTTAAAATCACAATCGCTTGTCCAAATGTGAATAAAATTTTAAATTAACATGTTTTTTAGGTGAAATGAACACAACAGTTTAACAATATGATCTGTTCTGATCGTTTATTGGCAGTTTTCCATAACTATAAGCTCTTTCTTGGTCGGAATTCTAGTATATTTTGTGAAAATTGATAGAGATATTGTGTTTTGACAACTATATATGAACTGCTAACTTAAAAAGGGGACATGTCAAGTGAAGTTTTGCAGGACATGTCCCCTTTTT